CGGCCGATGCAGCACACCGTGCCCATTCTTCCGAGAACTAAAGTTTAAAGCCACTGTGGGATCTGCATGCTAGTGCTCATTATTCCCCGCTTCGTCAGATCGCAAGCAATGGGCGACAAGGCTAGGCAGCAAGGGCTGCGTGTGACTCCCCATGCATGCCAAAAGTTCCCTTTGAAACCAACTGCAAGATGCACCTGGCGCTGGAGATGTCGCTGCAGGTCCAGCCCGATCTGACAGAAGAGCTGGGCCGTGGGCCAGGGCCCGTGCTCAGAAGCCCTGAGACTCTGGCTCTCAAGGGAAGCTTCTCCAGGTCCACGGGCGGAGGTCCGGCAGCTCCCTGAGACAAAAACGGTAAGTCGAATCAAGGCCTTTGCCTCTGCTCAGCCTCGCCTTCGGAGCGTCCTTTCCCGGGAAAAGCAAAGCCTGGTCGTTTGACGGAGCAGTGACAGAGCAGATTACCTTCGTTCTTTTTCGGTTTCAATGAGATCCGCCCCGCCCGGCCTTGCGACTTCTTGCAATGGAAGAGAAGCCTCGGTGTCGATTCTCGCTCGGTACTTGGGCTCTCTCTCGACAGTCCGCCATCGAGGCAGGAGCATGTAAAGAAGGGGTAAATGCGCCGGTAGTCCGGTGTCCGCTCCTCAAAGAACCCACGGAATGACGGCGTGAAACGCCAAAGCATTCTTTGTGAGGCCATGGTGGCGCACCAGAAGCAGAAAGCCGACAAAGGAACTGCCATTGCCAATAAGTCTAGCACGGGCTCCCGCAGTAGCTGCGCCTTTGGGGCATTGTTGAAGTAACAGCCAATCACAGGCTTTTTCCTCCTTCTGGCTCTGACCTGCCTCCACTCGCAAGACCTCCTCCAGGCCCTCATCCAAAAGCTCCAAGAGCTGTTGAAGGTCGTTGCCACCTCGCTGTGCTTCAAGCTCAGACTTCCATCGCTAGCCAAGCCCGCCCCGGCCACACACCTTCCTTCAGCACCAACTTTGCCACGCCCATGAACTCCTGCGTCATACAAAGAGCTTTTTCGTGGCTTCCCTCGAGTGCACTCGAGCCATGCACCTGCATGTACATTTGAAGGCCCTCTGGCTGCCGCTCGTAGGGAGGCACCTTGTTAGCACGGAGGGTCTTGCCTTCTTTGGAAAATTTTGGAAATAAAAAGAAAGCCGAGCCAGTGGCCCACTCTGAGAGAACCACAGTCTGAGGAGCTTTGACCCTTTCCATGAACCTGGATCTCACCCCTCTGACTGCAATAGCCGCAATGAACTACACGACTTCTGCGATGCTGGCTGCCTGTCGTGAAGCTCAGCTGCTGACGTCCGGTAAAGAGGGGAGTCCGTTGCTGGACAAATGCCGGTCGCAATCGTCTTTGGGTCGCGATACCTGATTCTCGGGTAAAAGATGGGGTCTGGAAATTCGAGAGCGTGAGAAAGTCGGGCCCGGGCAGAACTGCATTTGGAGCATCCAGTGGACAGGACGTTGTCGCCAAACCCAGGCGGTACGTCAGCTTCCTCCACCTGTCCGCCATGCACTGCACTTCTCGGCTGAGGGCCTAATGACATGCCTCAGCTTCAGCTTGCAGAACTGCACATAGTTCCACGGCACCAGATAGACGCACCTGGCAGGCTATTGGCTTGCAGGCCCTCTAGCTTCCAGCTGCGCAAGAACGGACTGAGAAGAGCCTAGACCTCGTTTCACGCCTGCAAGATTTCCTGTTAGATTCTCTTACTGGGATAGACTGCTTGGCTGCAGCTGAGGCCATTGCACTAGCGGAGGCCCTCTTCCCGGCCTTGTCATACAGAGTTCTGCATCCTGCAACAGCTGGAAGGCCTGCAGCATGTGATGCGATGGGAGGACGGACCCCAGAATAGAAACCTCCTCCAACAGAGACGGCACTTCAGGAGGCCAGAGTGCAACAGTTGACTCTAACACGCTCGACCGGTTCGATAAGAAGACATCAGGACATTCGCACTGACCATGCCCTGAAGTCTCAGAAAGGATCCGAACCCGGAATACACCCTCAAAAAGCACCTCCTGCATCTCGCCCAACTCCAAGCGAAGGGAGGCCAAAACCAGTTGGCAATGCAGCCTGGAAAGGAACATACCGGGCCGCGGTACGGCAGAAAGGCCGTCTAGATTGCAAGGGCATTAGAAGTCTTTCGCTCTTTCGCTAGTCCAGCTGGCCGTGCATGTTCGATCTCGGAAGTCTCTGCAGCCAGGAGACCGGAGTGGCATCAGCTGCAAGTAGATATTGGGCCTCGGCCAGGCAGCAGTTGCCTTTGCAAGAAACCTGAATGGAACCCATGAGCCCCCCGCGGCTCTCGCGAGTCGTTGTGAGACAGCTCGCGGAAGCCTTGGCAGGAATTTCTTCTTTCGCACACGGCTTGTTTCTCTGAAGCTCTCTCTCCGAGAGAGGCACGTGGTTTGATCTCCGGGAGCAACGGCGGATCCGGTGGTGGCTTAAATGCCTCGCTAGGCCGCCAGGCACACGACCACGCGTTGTCGGTATCAGTTTCTGAGCACCTCCTCGCCGCAATTGTCCGGGCCAAAGTCGCAGAAGCTGTTCACGTTGCGTGGGTGCAGGTGTGCTCGCTGCACCCTCATTCAGGGCAACGCAAGCGCCACAAGCTTTTAATTGGGACGGCTCACAGGTCAAGGCCGAGCATCGCACCCCTGTACCTCCAGAAGCTTCTCCACATCGCCGAGGCATTCCGCAACCATATCCTTAAACGCACGAGCTCCGCTGCCATAACACACTCACCCCGAACTCAACGCGCGAACTCAGCTCCTTCGTCGATTGCTGAGGCAGGCTCTGCCAGCATAGTCCGCATCTCATGAAACGTCATCTTCCTTTCGCCCTGTGCATTGGCAAATGGTCGAGGTTCTCCCGCGAGATGGGGGCACGATTATCCGCGCCTTCTTGCCCCCCGATTTCTGCAACTGCTTGGCGATTGGCGAGATAATAATCGACCTGCGACACCAAGCCCAGGCCCTACCACGTCCTATCGAAGTGGCAGCTCATGCGAGGCGCAGGCCCTGCAGCTTCCAGAAGCAGCATCTCGCTCGGATCCAACTCCTTGGGAAAAATATGAAGTGAGCCAGTCATGTATCCGCGTCGAAGGCAGGCGCATGCAGGCGCAGCAAGCATCAAATTGACACACGGATGGTTTGTCGCTGTCCCTCACCACCCCACGCGACACCTCCTCTTCGGCTCCGCCGGTTGCTTCCATTGCCTGAAGTGTCCCACCATTTCGATACGACGCTCGGAGCGGTCGAAAACCTCCTCATGCTGGGCGCCGAGCTTCAGCGGTGTCCTCCGTGCGCTTCAGCGGCACCAAGCTTGGATTCTGCTGCAGCCTTTTCAAGGTGCAGTCGCCACGAGTTTGCTGCAATTGCTGCAATGTAACTTCTTGGCCGGGGGGCATGTTGAAAAGCATCATGCGTGCATACACGGCGCTTGGAGTTGGCACGGGCAGGTTCCTGGCGTTTGTTGTGCTCTTCTCTGGCTTTGTCTGCTGCTCGGCCATTCCAAATACAGGCCTTGCGGCTACTGCTAAGCAGCATTCTGCCGCCGGGACGGCTCCCAAATGGCGCTCGCCCTGAAGCTCCAGAAGCCTTCCGGATAGGACCTGGCAACCACTCCGAAATTCACAGAACCTGTGTGTCGCTGTCGCAGCCCAACCCGGCCTCCATCTTCACTTTCGTCATCAGCAACTCCACGCGTGCCACATCGTGTTGGGTGACTCTGCTCTCCTCGAGGCCCTGTCAATGCGTTCTGCACCACCCAATACCTTGCCATACTATACTATCCTATCCTATACTATACTATGCTGTACTGTACTGTACTATCCTATACTTTACTATCCTATACTATCCTATACTATACTACATACTATCCTATACTATACTAATACTATACTATACTATCCTATGCCCGAGGCATGGAGCGAGCTGCCTGCTGAATGTGGGCTGCAGCCGCCTTGAGTCGGCCCTGACCTGCGCCAACACTCTCGCAGGCCCCTTCCTGGGCTCTCTAAGGTCCTCACATTCTCCCAGGGTCGTTTAAGGGGCGCACTCACCAACAGGTTTGCCATGTAGGATCCTTTGCCAAGACTCTCTATAGAACCCTTTAAGAGGGCTTCTGCAGAAAGAGCCGGGATCATGATTTAAGGCCCGTGCGGAGGCGCATCCAGCACTTGGAGCCGGGATGGGCCCTCAGCCTGCTGGAGCTTGCGGCTCCAAGGTTGCAGTCCTCATGGCGGGAATTGCGCAAGAACGACGGGTTTCCGCTGAGGGCGACCAACCTGTTGCTTCAAAAAAGCGCCGTGTCCTGGCTAGATTTTGTTCCGGATGTGGCGAGTCGCCGAAGGAACTCCATTCCATACAACACCTCTGCAGAGGTGCTTCACAGAAACAGGAGATTTTCCGTTAAGCTTGTCCGCAGACTCGGGCATGGGCCTCCTGGATCGCTTTGCCAAGGTCACCCTTGCCTTCCTGCACCTGGCAGTGGGGTTCCGACTTCGGATCCCCACAGGTTCAGGACACCGGGCCTTTGCTCGCATGAGGCGTACTTCCGCGCAGAGTTCCCCTTCTTCTTCCGAAAGCGGCCTGTCGAATGCTCACTACTGGCAATCCCACACTGCGCACAGTCGCCAAGAAGGCCTCACGGGCTCCAAGAAGGTCGGCTCCTAGCACTCACCCAGCCCTCACAACACTTGCCAGCGAAACTGTTCTGAGTTGCACTCCTCGCCGCCAGACTCGCGGGAGGTGCGGCTTGCGGTTGACCAGGCCTTATCGTTTCGACACAGCACGAGTTGACAGCTCTTGCCCAAGCCATGAGGCAACAGCTTCTCTGTCGTCGTCGTTTCCTGTGATCTCCTGTAACGACCAGCAGGCTGTAGGCGGCTATTTCACGGGCGCAGCACTTGAACGCCTTCCAGATCTCCACTAGCAGTGCATCTGCTTTGTCAAACAGGGCCGTGCGGTCCTCCCAACGTGTCTGCAGTAAGGACATGTTGACACTGCATACTTGGAGTAGCGCTGCATGGGGCTGTCCTTCTCCTGCGGTTCATTGAGTTTGGGGAAGACTCGCTGGTAGGAGCACACCTGGCACAAAGGCGGCTTGATCTGACCGGTCGAGCCTGGCCATTCCGAGGTCACGACAGTGACGAGAAACTCTGCCTCTCGTTTGGCTCAGAAGCCGAGCTTCGTCGGATTTTGCGTATCAGAGTCCCACGGCCTTGAGATGCTTGAAGAGGCGGAGATTGTACGCTGCGGTTCCGGATGGCGTCGTAGCCTACGACAGTAGTAAAGGATTTCTGAGATCTGGAGCCACGTGCCGCAGGCTCCTGGATCCCTGCCTCGGGATCCGCTGCTCCAGCTCCCACCGGCGTCAGAGTCAGCTCCATCAGCTGATTGATGGCCTCCGACAACAAAACAGCACCACGGCCCAGCAGTGCAGCCCCTCCCTATAACCTGGACGTTGGAAGCAGAGGAAGGCTCCTCAAAGCACCGGAATGGCCTTTAGGCAGGGTTCAGGGCGCTTCCGGGCGCTTGAGGACGCTTGAGGACGCTTGAGGTCTCGAGGACCGGGATCCGAGCTGCGTTGCCGTTATCTCCTGAGCTTCGGCAACCGCAATGTCCAAAGCCTCACCAAGGTCCGAGGGAGGACTGCAGCCCCAAAACCGGACCGCCCGACCCCCGCCTCGCTGGCCATGAGACCCCGTGGCCTGGCGGCGCTGAGCTGTACCGTCTCTGCTACCCCCGTTATGGGGTCTCCAAGCTTGCCGACGGGCGGCTTGTCATAGCCACGTGACACGGCATGTAGAGCCAGCCATGCCTGCCAATCCGCAACAAAGACACGGCGAGAGATGTGAAACCCAGGAACCTCTGTCAGAGAACAGCAGCGGATCAGCGCTTGAGCCGCCATCAGCCTCGTCACGGAGGATTCATCAGCTCCGCGACATAGCAGCTTTCTAAGGCCCCTGCCTTCCCTTCATTGCAAGTGCCATGTTCCTTCAAACTCAAGGGTCAGCTGGTATCTATGCGTCTGATTGTGACAACATCCTGCATTCAAACTCGACTATATCCAACAACACTACAAATACTGAGCAGCAATTACGCAAAAGTTATCCTGAACACGTCAGTGGCGAGGTAGTTGTACAGCGTGCAAATAGGCAGGCAGCGTGCAGGTTGGTAGTCTGTCACCTGGTGATGCTTTTTGCGGTAAGCACCGTCACAAGTCTTGCAGTTGCATACGACTGTCAACTGCCGAGCTAAAGGCCAGAAGTGTGTTTTGGAAGAAGTCCAGCGCACCAAGGAAGTTTGCGCCATCCACACCTCATGCAACTCACGCATCATGCATGATTGTCATCATGCTCTAGCAGTTGTGACCTGGTTGGTGCACCAGCACCCTCTGTAGTTCTCAGCGTGAGACCACCATGAACACTGCTCGGCGGAAGTATCATCCTGCAACAACATCACGACCACTGTCTCTCCTCAGTACCACATTGATTTTCATCTCCTGGTCTCACGGAGACCAAAGAAAATCTCGCGCAGGCGATGCCTGTTGATCTCGAAAGAAGCTTCAAAAGGTGACATACAGAAACTAGATTGACTCCCCTTTCAGGACCTGCCAAGTGCATACTGATCTCGCCGCGGTGGATTTGGCAATGCCGTTGTAAGGATGGCCTGCAACCGTTGCTTTGTGACGAATGGGACATCGGAGCTGGGAAGGCCAAGAGCCCCCCTGGCCCAAGTTTGGAACCGGCAAGTGCCGATGCATGGTTTGAAATGAAACAAAAGAACAGCTGCGAACACAGTGTTATCCATGAACCGCTTGTCTGTGAGCTCGCGGCCTCGATGATGTTAGAGGCGAAGAGCGCGGCATTGAGGTGAGCTGTCACCTCCTACTCAGAGTCTTCACGCAACTGAAGTCAAGAGGCACCGAGGACGCCTTGTCGCTGCCAGGAGTGTAGCTGCTACTACTGCTATTGCTGCTGCTGCTGCCGCTGCTCCTCCTCCTCCTCAGGTGTTCCTGCTCCTCCTCGTCCTCCTCCTCCACCTCCTGTTGTCTGTGTTGCTACATGTGGCTTCTCTACTCTTATGCTACTGCGTCAACTAGATTACACGTTACACTAACCGTTACACATGTCCTCATATCTTTACATTTGACAACCCAGCACGAGGTCAGGCATGATAATGTGCTGCAGTAGTTGCACCAACGTCCTTGGGCTTTGTAAGCCGGGCGTGCTTCGAGAGAATGACGACCTCGGAGAAGACTCTGGCTGGATGCTCTTCGTCGATTTTCGCTTCTTGAAGTCAATCTCAAGGGTTCGAGCCGTGAGGAGGAGGATCTCCACCCGAGCACAATCCTCGAACATGCCATGTGCATCCTACCAGTACGCCTGAGAAGCAAGTGGCAAGCGTCCTGCGGCGGATTGAGGCTGGCTTCGATGCACTTGCTCCAGTTTCTGATGGCGAAGGGGAATTGGAAGACCTGGGTTGCACAACACTGGAATCAGTCGACAGGGATGGAGGAATTCCAAACGCCTGCTGCTACAGTTTGAGGCGAGGTCCGTGTCCACTGCGTCGCTCCAAGCATCCCGGGCCTCGAGAAGAAGTGGATCTGCACGGAATTCGATAAGAAGATGCAAGAAGGCTTCTGAAGCACCCCCTCCCAGGTACCTTTTCCATTGCGAGTACAAAGGCTTTCCAAAGGCAGAGCCGCTGAGGGGCCCGGGCGCCGCTTGAGTCGCCCTCGAGCCTGCGAGAAAAAAACACATATCTGGGTAAAGAATCAAGAGCTTGAAATCCGTGCAAATCGAATGTAGGGCCGTAGGGGTGGATTCCAAGCGCTTGGGGCATTGGGAGGAGCTGGAGACGAGGAACGTCAAAGGCAGGCTGCGTTTGTAAGCTTCAGGCCAGAGCAAGTTCCCCAGTTCATGAAGCGCCTGACCGCCATCAGACAGATCCGAGCCACGAAACGCCCAAGCCAAGGAGGACAGCCTGAACCACCTGGTCGTTCATCTGCCGCTTGCGGAGCAGCTCCACTGCCTGCGAGCAACCTTTATCACTTTGCCTAAGCTCTTCGCCCTTCGGTCCCATCACCAGCCTTGCGGTAGGAGGACACCAAAGCCGAAGCTGCAAGCCTCGCAAGCGATTCAGAGGTCGCATGGGCGCGTGTACGAGGTGCAAAGCCGTGCAAACATCAGAATCAAAACTACCCAAGATGGAAGGGTGGCCTGAGCGGCCTCTCTTTCATCTCCTTTTCGCCGTCGACTAGCTGCCCTCGCTGAACTGCCAGACTGAACCTTGACTCCCCCCGATGACGAGCCTTTCAAACTGCCCTCCTTGGACCTGCTCATCACTCATCTGATCTCTCCCTCTGTAGGGGCCTGGCGCCTCTCGATCCTGCAAGAAGTCTGCGAGGAGCAAGCGACTCCTCCGAAGCCTCAGCATGTCTGAAGCATCCCACGCAGCACGAGAAGGAATGAGTGCATGTGAGTTTGCCGGATCGCGGTGGGCGGGCGGTTGGGCCATGCATTCAGGGGGGCACCGAAGGATTGAACCTGACGCATGTGAGGTCTTCTCGGGCCAGCACTGCTCCATGGCTGCAGGCACAGCACGGGATGCCAGGTTATGCGAGTCCTCGCGGGGACGAGACCACTCTGTCTGCACTAAACATCACAGCAGCGTCGCCTCGAGAGCCTTGAGCAGGGACCTTCCCATGACTTGCCCGAGTCTCCATGTCCTTCAGATAAAACCACCGAGGCACTGGCGACCATGATCCGTGCAGCTTCTTCTGCCGCTTCGTGAAAGCATCGTAGTACTCCGCCCTGGCTTGGAACAAATCCCCGCTTCAGGGCTTTCCAACTGGATATTTCCAGAGAAGCGCTTCCCATCATGTAGACGAAAGGCAAGAGCTGAGCCCTGATGGGCCCTGCCCTGCCACTGGAACTGTACAGCGGAACACGCAAGAGGCTGATGCTAGCCGTATCAGGCAGCATTTCTTTGCAACCTCCTGCAAGATTCCCCGATGCTATTCCTTTGCCAGTTCTCTCACTGACGGTGGGTGCAAGTCGGCCACTGGCGGCATGTCAAAGACGACGGGGGGGTGGTCCGGCCTCGATGGATTACGCTACCGTTCGGCCGACATGTCCTTCGTGGAGCTCCCTGCCTGTAGCGAAGAGTGCAGGTGGACGCGTTGATGAAAAGAGTGCTGCCATCTTCCACGAAGCCATAGGCCTCAAAAATGAGTCTGCCCGAAGAGACGGCACTGGCACACCTGTAGGTGGCAAAGAAAGCACAGTCCTCGTGGATGTGGCCACACACCACAACGGGGATGTGGCGCTTCCTGCAGAAACAGCTGCAAAGCTACATGAGTCGCAAAGCAACGCACAGCTGCAAATCAAGCTGCCTGACCGCCACCAGCAGGTCCGTGCAGCCAGCGTGCACTCCGTTGAAGCAGCCGTCCAAGATGCCTTGCCATCTAACAAACGGATCTCCGGAACGAACGGATTTAACGAAGTGGGACGGTGCCTTGTGCAGGGCCATGGGTCAGCAGGATGTCTGTGTCATCGGGAATTCTGGACCAAACCTTCACAAGCGTCTAGAGCGCTTTCTCGTCCGATGACTGCAATGTCATGCTAATATCAGGCTCCCTCCCTCGCCTTGGCAAGGGCTTCCCCTCTTGGTAAGTTGAAGGCCCAGTCGCAAAACTCGGGCTGCCAAGGTGAACCGTAAATCTTGTACCTGCTGCGCATTCCCGAAAGAAGAAGGGCATAGGGTCAACTGGAGACGTGCGTGCCCGTGTCGTCAATCTATACTGCTGGTACAGCAAGCATTCCTGCTGGGCAGGCACACCCCAAGACGTCAGCCACGTCATCCTCCAGGTACGTGCAGCCTGTGGCCATTGCTTCAGCGGTCTAGCCCACGGCCGTATCTAGCGCAAAGAAGACGAGCATTGAAGTCCAAGCGACCCTCCAGTGCAGCCCTGGCCCTGTCACAAACAGCAGGATCCCGACCATGCTTTCGCATGAAATCCTCAGGAGAACTCATTCAGAGCGCCGAGCGACCAAGCCTATTTCCTGGTTAGGACAAGTGTCTGGCTCGAAAGTGAGGTCATGATTCCCAGCTATGACGATCTTCTCCCGGGCCGGATAAGCTTTCAGCCACTCCGAAAAGCTTGCGACCTACACTCAAACTGCAGGCATGTCCCGCATGCAGACGTCAGGAGGTAAGGGGCGCTGCTTGCACAGGGAGCTGCCAGCCTGGCCAATCTCCCCTTGCATGGTGAAGTCCCCTGCATGGAGAAGAACCTCAAAACTTGGGCATGTGCCTGTTGATGCGATGGCGTGTCGTTTTGGTTGCCTAGGCGCATCTGCTTCTGGGCAGTGTTGAGGAGGGATGCCGGCATGTTTCCCATGCGTATCCTTGGCTGTCTACCTCCTAGCCGGGTTGGGAACAGATGTCTTTCCACCAGGCATCGCTGAAGCAGACGAAGCGCGTCCAACCCTCCAGCTTCGGCTGCCTTAGCTCATATGTCTTGCCTGCAAAGCCCGAACATGCACACAGCGCAGGTTCAATGCAAAGTCTAACCATTCGAAGGCCGTGCCATGCGACGTGCTTGGTTCAGCCACGACTTTGGCAAGTATCGGTCGCATGCCGCCATGGCTGGTGGTGCACATCGCGTGTCGAATCTCTGCTGTGCAACTTCCAGCATCACGATGCGCTCTTCGAATTTCCGCAATACAGATGCTTGGAAAACCGCGAATACATGTACATGTTTACGCATGTTGGGTATGCTTGACGGCAGCAAAAGGGAGCACCAATCACTGGGCATAAAGACCTTAGTTTGTCACAACTCGCCGGACATTAATTTTTCCCCTACCCACCCCTTCCCGCTTGAAATAACTAAGATTGTTCGCAAGCTGGCATTCGAGCTTTGCGGCTGTGTCAATGATTCCAGAGACCTAGAACACCTAGAACAGAAGACTTGTCGTCACACAGCCTCGAACCCATAGACCGGAGCGCACCCGCCCACGAAGCACTACAACTGCAGCCCCACATGCACGGTGCCTCTTTCGGAAGAGCTGCTCGGGTTGACCTAACAAGTACCAAGCGCAACACTCTCTCAAGTCTCTGACTGCGCCGCGTGCCGAACTTCATACACTTCTACTGGTTCGATCTAGGCCTCTTGGTGATAACTCGGACTGGCCGCTAGGGTAGCTTCAAAATCCACTGCACATTTTTACTGGCAATCTCCAGGCTGGATCCTTCGTTTCTGATCTCCGCCAACCCCAGCTGTTTGGAAGAACACAGATTCTGAAACCTCCCTTGATCCGATGGAAGCCTCGGACTATGCTAACAGATCCCAAACGCACCGATCGCAGGGCGAGGGAATGAAAGCAGAGGCCGCAAGCGGAGCTGAGGAGCTCACTGAGCTCGCCCTGAAGAGCCAGCTGGCGTAGCAGCTTTCGAGGCCTGGGGAGAAGTCTCACAGGGTCAATGCCGGATGTAATCGTGGCATGTTTTCTCTTTTGTCGATTGTCATGCCACTGGTGCCTTCAAACCAAACTCGAACGTAAACACATGTGACGCCCGGATGATTTTGGATTGCGGAGTTGCGCCTCTCTCACCCTTGCTCTTCAGTGGCCACATGCCCAACATGGTCAACTCAGCAGACTGTGGTGCAAACACCTCACTACCTAGGCTGAGCTGCCAGCAACTTCTTCTGCTCCACCTGACCAGGGCTCGACCAAGACCAAGGTGCTTAGTAGGCTTACGCAGCAGACAAGACGATGCCTCGAAAGTTGCCTTCGACTCCGCTAAATAGCGCTGAGAATTCGCCTGATTTCAAAACTCGGAAGAGCCTGTCAAGTTTCCAGAACTCGGCAGACGCTGGCCGTGAGTTGAGGAGCCGGCAAGAGCCCGACTGGACAAATTGCAGATCTCCTTTTGCGCCTTTGCAACAAGGAGCAGCAGCCAAGTCTATGAGCCGTTTGACCCTCCGCTTCTCCCCGTGACGTGCCCCGTATGCCCACAAACACGAGATGTTTGTTTCTACTTGGTTTGTGGTGGTGGTGGTGGTGGTGGGGGTGGTGGTGGTGGTGGGGGTGGTGGCGGCAGCGGTGGCGGTGGTGGTGGTGGTGGTGGTGGCAACAACCAGGAAAACCTGTTGCCGCCCGCACTCTTCCCCCCCCGCATCTCAGGGCAGCTCCGAAAACGTCACGGCCACCCTCCGCGAAGGGTTCAAGAGGGGGTAATAATGCAGCCAAGGTGCCAGGTGAACACGGGAGAGCGGGGGGTGGGAAGAAGTGGAGCAGGCGCCGCAGAGAGGGGAGGTAGGAAGGAAAGGGGAGAGGGGAGAGGGGTGCGAGGGGAGAGAGGGGAAAGAAGGGAGAGAGGCGAGAGAGAGAGGAGGAGAGAGAGGAAACACGGGAGAGAGGACAGGGGGAGGGGAGAGGGCAGCGGCGAGAGAGGGGAGAGAGAAGGAGAGAGAGAGGAAACAGGGGAGAGGGAAGAGAGAGGAGAAAGGGCACAGAGAGAGAGAGAGAGAGAGAGGGGAGAGAGAGAAGACACAAGAAAAAGGGAGCGAGGGGAGAAGAGCGGGGAGAGAGGGAGGGAAGGAGGGAAGAGGTGGGAGGGGAGAGGGGACAAGTGGAGACAAGAACAGGGGAGAGGCGGGGAGGAGGGAGTAGGCAGACAGCACGCAGCTAAGCTGAAGCGCAGCATGACAGGCCACTCACTCGGGCTCAGAGGCGCGGACCGAAGAGCCGAAGAGAGGAGGATATATTTAGCATACAAAGGCATGCACGAGACACGCCAATGCCGCATCAGAGGCGCGGCCCGAGTATAAGTAGTGGACAAAGGAGAACCGCAGAAGGACTTGCCCAGCCGCAAGAAGGCACGGCACACCGAGGACAAAGCAGGAAGGCAGCAGAAGTGGCCCATAGCGCAAAAAGCCACGGCCCGATGGAGAAGATAGGTACGGCCAACGACCACTCCGAGGGCAAAGGATCAACGCACCACGACGGGCCCGTAGCGCACAGAGACGCGGCCCAAGCAAGCAGCGAGAGATAGGAGCAACGGCCAATAGGCAAGCTGAGGACACGGGAGGAACGCAGCTGGCCAATAGCGCATAAGGGCGCGGCCCGATGAAGGAGAAGAGTTACACGAGTAAGGCCGCCCCGACGACAAAGCAAAAGGGGAGCACGACAGTCCAATAGCTCACAGAGAGGACAGAGGAGCGAGAGAAAGGAGAAACGGCCAAAAGCCGTGCCGAGAAAACAACAGAAACACACCACGACGGGCCAACAGCGCAGGATGGCGCGGTCCCAAGATGAAGAGACCGTGCAATGTGCAAGGTCACGCCGAGGACAGAGCAGAAAGATTAAATATTGTGCAGAGGCGCCAGGCGCGGCCCGAGTACGCGAGAGAAACGGCAACGTGGCCGCGCCGAGGACAAAGGAGGCACGCAGCAGGACTTGCCAAAAGCGCCGCGAGGCAGCAAGAGCTAAGCAGCTAAGAGCAACGGCCAAAAGCCAAGCTGAGGCCACGGGGGGAACGCACGGAAGGAACGCAGCTGGCCAATAGCGCATAAGGGCGCGGCCCGATGAAGGAGAAGAGTTATACGAGTAAGGCCGTCCAGGACAAAGCAAAAGAGGAGCACGACAGTTCAATAGCGCAGAGAGGAGAGGGGAGCAGGAGAACGGAGAAACGGCCAAAAGCCGTGCCGAGAAAACATCAGAAACACACCACGACGGGCCAATAGCGCAGGACGGCACGGCCCGAAGATGGAGAGACCGTGCAAGGTCACGCCGAGGACAGAGCAGAAAGAATAGCGCGCAGAGCAACTCAGCAACTGGCCAATAGCGCAGAAAGAAAGGCGCGGCCCGAACAAGGGTAAGAGTGATATGGCCGAGGGTCACGCCGATGACAAAGCAAAAGGGGAGCACTGTATACAGGCCAATGGCGCACAGAGCGTGTCCCGAAGAAGGAGCCAGACAAAGGAGAAACGGCCAAAGGCCATGACGAGAACACAGCAGAAACACCCCAGGACGAGCCAATAGCGCCCAAGGACGCGGCCCGAAGAAGGAGAGACTGCAGACTGCGCAAGGCCTCGCCGAGGACAGTGCTCAAGCTGATATAGACACGCAGGCGAGGACGGGAACGAGAGGTCAAAACATGTCGCAACCCAAGCCGAAGCCACGCAGCTAAGGGAGGAGGACAGCCACAGCAAAGGGCCAGGAAATAGGCGAGTCAAACACAAAATAGCCAACCCCAGTCAAGGGCCCAGGAGGTCAGGCCAACGAGAAAAGCGCGAGGGAGAACAGAGAGGGGTGGGCCGGCTATGAACAGCGAGCCGGAATCGCCCAACACCCGGTCAAATGCGAAAGGAAGGAGCACCAAGCACCATAAGCTGGTCTCGGGGTACAAGCCGCAGAGGGGAGAAGGAGGTAAGCTCAAAACAGGCAAAAAGGAAGGCACGTAGACCAGCGGCCTTTAACAGGAGCTAGAGAGGGGGGCGGAAGACAGACGAGCAGGCACAGCACCGAAGAAGAGGTGGGCGGCACCGGGCGGAAGAGAGACGAGCAAGGAAGCAAAAGATGCTGAGGCAAAAGCGGGAAGGCAAGAAGGCAAGGGGACAGGAGAGGGAGCGGCGAGAAGTGGGCGGAGAAAAGGAAGGAGAGAGTGACCGTGCAACCAGAGCAGGAGAGCAGCAAGCAGCTACTAGGGCCCAATAGGCCGGAAGGAAACCAGCATGCCAGGCGACAAGGGGAACAGACATCAAAGATCCCAACAAAACAGCGTCCAGACACAAGAACTGCCCCAGACAACATCGACATGAGATGAAGAGGAGAGGTGCGACCAAGTTGGCGAAGGAAGAGAGACGAGAGAAGAGAGAAGAGGAGGGGAAGGCACTGTCACCCCACGGAGGGGCGCGAGGTGGCAGGCAGGTGGGGGCTCCTCGACGGGGAGAGACCCGTCTTAGTGCCGCCCCTGGGGTCCCACCAACCTGATGGCCACCAAGCACCCACATACTCCGTTGGGCCCAGGGGAACTACTTGGTTTGTGACTGCGCGATGCGGTGTCTTCTCGGTTGGTTGCTCGTGCTTGCTGTGCCCGGCTGATTAATCGTCACTCACAGCAGAATCATGTCGGTTGCCTCAGACCTTGCTATCTTGCTAACCGCCCGTGTTAGACCGTGTTAGGAAGAATGGGTTTGAGTAAATTCGGTCTGTGACCGCCTGCATCGTCAGGTTTAGTTAGTTTAGTTGCCGGTATTGCCTACGGTGGTGTCTGTTCTCTCTGCACTATGTGTGCATGTGTATATGTATATATATATACATATATACACATACATACATACATACATACATACATACATACATACATACCTACGTACGCACATACATACATACATACACACACACATACATACATACATACATACATACATACATACATACATAGATAGATAGATAGATAGATAGATAAATAAATAGATAGGTCTATATATATATATATGTATTTACGTACGTACGTACCTACGTATGTATGTATGTGCGTGCGTACGTATATATGTATGTATGTATATATGTACGT